AATTTTGATAATTCACATAATAGTTTCCTATGATCAGAATATGGATCCCATGTCAAGCTTCGACATCCCAGTGGCAGTACAATTAGCGCTCAAAGATGTGTACACATCTGAAATGACTTTCCTTGCCTTACATCCTTGAGTCTGAGTAGCACTGAGTCTGTTTAGTGTTTACATTCCTCCCAGAAACTGCAGTACGCTTCCAGACCGCAGACCAAATCAAACCTTCAGCCCTTTAGCTACTTTTTATATTAGAGGAAATTGTGAACATTTTACACTTTTCACACTGATATTTTCCTCATTATCACATGGGATTCAGACATGCCACTTTATGTATAAGATGGAGGGTCACTTGAAGATACGCTTACAGCTTCTTTAAACTCTCACCCTTTGTGTATAACACTGAAAATAAAGGGTTCAAACACGGGCAGCCGAAGTACATTTGAATTTCCGAGCAGGGTCAACCTTTCCGGTCCCAGTTTGTACTGTATCGCGCGGAAATTGGTAGATTTTTCATACACAAAATTCACCAAACTGGAAAAAGCCCCCCAAAAATAAAATTTGCCCCAAAAACAAAGATGTGAGATTTCCCCAAACTAAAAAGTTTTCCCCTGAAATATAGTTTAAGATTTTTCACTAATGAGATTTGAATTGCAAATCCTTATCTATAGTTTTCCTAGATAAATTTGCCCTCAACTGAATGAATGCCCCCAAATATAAAAATATCCCCAAAAATATCCTGAATTGGTTTTTCATGATTGAGTTTAATACACTTTTTTCATGATTGAGTTTACCCCCCCCCCTCCGTAGAAATGTTTAGGAGGGGGGCAAGCGAAATTGCCCTATGCCAGGCGCGTATTCAGGATTTAAGCCAGGGGCTGCAAGATAACTCCATCACAGCTAACTAAAGCAATAATCACAGCATCATTAAAAAATTACATTTTCACTAATAAACGAAATTTCTTCTGAAATTTGGTTCATTAGTCAATTAACTTTCACTTAAAACTGACCCTTCATTTTTGCTTTGAATCTGTTTTTTGCTTTTATATTTTAGAATTTATAATTTCTAATTGAATACCTATTATACCAGTACCACTTTTATTTAATGTTGGAACATCGACAACAGTCACACTCACCCCGGACTAATCAGGGCGAGATGCATTTGGTTTCTTCCATTATAATTCAAGCACGTTTTGGTCAATAATTCAACAATCTTTAAATTGACGGAGTTGTAGATTTATACAATTTCATTCAAAACGTATATGCCGACAACAAAGTATCAGAGAGTAAAGGTGAATAAATTATGTTTTATAGGTTAAATTGTGATCGAAAGTCACATTTCTTTGTGATAAAGACAAAAACGTTAAATCCGGCCGTGCAGTACTTTAATTATTTCATTATCTAATTATTTGATTATTTGATTATTTATAGAAAAAATTACAGTTAGATATATCGCACACTCTGTCCTTTATAATGAATGTTGTTTCCTTCAACAAACATGTTTTTCAATATATCTTGCAGTATCTAAACTTATATCACACTTATAACTGTAATTTTCCCATTAAATGCGATTTTTGCGTTTTTTTTGCTTAGATTTCCTATTAGCCTACTTTTATTAAATTTATCACCCTGATTAAAGATAATCCTTTTGGTTGATAAATGTTTGAAGCCAGAGTTAAATTTTACAGAATTTAAAAAAAGCACGTTAAAAGCACGTTCATATCGAGCATACAATTTTCAATAAGTTATCATATAATTCTTGTGGAGACTTTTTAATATCCAATAATCTTGAATGTATAAACGGATTTTGAAACTATGCCAAACCCACCATTATATAAAGTTATGGTTGTAAATCGTTTTTAAAACGATCGAAAAAACGATTGTTTTTTTTTCGTTTTTATTTTTTTTTCCTAAAAACGATCATTTCGTTTTTGGAAAAGATTTAGATTTAACATTCTGCCATATTATTTGGGACACCCTGTATTCTCTGATTATATTTGGTGCAGGTTGGTGCTCCACAAGAAGTCCATGGTTGAATGAAAATACAGAACCAAAGGAAGATTTTTTTAGAAACAAAATATCAACATACTATATAGGCTTAAATGGGCGCTTCGCGCCAATCTTCTATTTTAATTGTGAACATTTTTTCTTTGTACATATTGGAAAACAAAAAACAAACAAAATTTCGCGGAATTTATGAAAAAAAATTTCATGGATTTTCAAAATTTTCAAAAAATCGAATTTTGTTAGAGACACATTTTTGAAAATCTAATAAACCTTCCTTGAGGTCACGTGTGGTTCCACAAAAAATTTGGGCCCGAACGGTCCAGCCGAGTTGACGTTTTTTGGTCACAAATGGACAGACAGACAGACAAGCAAAGTTTATATAAAGAAGAAGAAAGTTTAAAGGGATCGACTGTAAGCGTAATATTAAGTGACCCTCCATGCATAGATGGCAATGAGCGATTTACCCTTGAAGCCTTAATCTGATCAACAATGTTTTTCTAAAAAGTGCTTATTTCTGTTAATTTTCTCCATTGTTCTTTATATGCAAGATATTCTGAAGTCACTTTTGTAGAGAAAACACCAATGAAAATTAACAGTTCAAATAAACAAAAACATTTAATTCATACTTGTTCAGACAAACCTTTAAAGGGCACCGTTGTAATTAGGCATTGCCATCTTTGCTTGGAGGGCGGTCACTCATTTATAAAATCTATTCTCCGTATTTTTTTAATCTTAGCTCTTCTTAATCCGTCTTTTTACTTGGTGAAATCATAAGTACATAAATGGGACTTTGGTATAAGGAGATAAACATGGAATTCAGTGACGAATTCGATATCGTCTTTTAAATAATTCTTTGATTTATTACAGTAATTAGTGATGCTGTATATAGTTACTCGTAAGATTTTCGTCTGCTATGTTTACAATTTGTTTGTTTACGTACTCTGTTTGTATACTGTAATTTTCTTGTTTTACTAAGTACACTGTATGCAATTACAATTTGTTTGTTTATGTTTTGACTGCATACGGTTGTACTTAGTAAAACAAGAAAATTACAATATACAAACAGAGTAAACTTATATACAGCCATTTATCGTTTTCATAAAAAAAACTCGAGCAGACAAAATAATATTATGGCTTTTGAAAACAAATTTTACAATTTAGAATGCTAATTCATAACAAAGATGATATCGAATTTGTCTCTTAATTCCAATGTTTATTGAGACACCCTGTATACATAAAAGTAATATGTTTTGTATATTTGATATAACGCAAATAGTTTACCAGTAGCTTGCTCGATAATATATTTTTTGCGTAAAATGGGTCTGTACATTGTACATCGCACAATAGATATGATTTAGGGTTTCCAACGCAAGTGGATTTTACATCATAAATTAGGTCTAAAAACGCTTTCCAAACCAGCTTTACTGTATAGAATAAGCTCCAAACCAGCTTTACTGTACAGAATAAGCTCCAAATCAGCTTTACTGTATAGAATAAGCTCCAAACCAGCTTTACTGTACAGAATAAGCTCCAAACCAGCTTTACTGTATAGAATAAGCTCCAAACCAGCTTTACTATACAGAATAAGCTCCAAACCAGCTTTACTGTATAGAATAAACTCCAAACCAGCTTTACTGTACAGAATAAGCTCCAATTACCAGCTTTACTGTACAGAATAAGCTCCAAACCAGCTTTACTGTACAGAATAAGCTCCAAACCAGCTTTACTGTACAGAATAAGCTCCAAACCAGCTTTACTGTATAGAATAAGCTCCAAATCAGCTTTACTGTATAGAATAAGCTCCAAACCAGCTTTACTGTATAGAATAAGCTCCAAATAATATGAAAACTGTGAAAATTGTATTCGACCCTCAATGCAAATAATACTATCACGGATTCTCAACAGCACAGTTTCAAAGATTTTACATATATCAAATTATAAAGTTATTGCGAGGTATTTATAAAAAGTCGCCACATAAGTTCTATCCTTGAGGATTTTTGATGAATGATGGCACACTAAATCGAAGAGTCATTTAAAATTACAATCCCTTGAACAAAAATGTTTGGGGCAATTTTTGAAAATTAACTGTTTGCATTACGAAAATATGTTGCACTTAAAAAACCTAAAAAATCTAATTGTTGTGCTTAAAAAATTGAGATTTAAAAAAATTGTTTTATTTAAAAAATCTTCTAGTTTGATGAAGGCTGGGGGTTCTGTGGAACAGAGGATTATCAGAGTAAATGTAATGAAATAGCGGAACAAGTAATGTAAGAAAGGAATGGTTCACCAAAACTGTGCTTTTAAAGATTTATCAAAAAACAAACATAATTTCGCGGAATTTATGAAAAAAAATTTCATGGATTTTCAAAATTTTCAAAAAATCGAATTTTGCTAGAGACACAGTTTTGAAAATTTAATAAACCTTCCTTGAGGTCACGTGTGGTTCCACAAAAAATTTGGGCCCGAACGGTCCAGTCGAGTTGACGTTTTTTGGTCACAAACGGACAGACAGACAGACAAGCAAAGATTATATATAGAGAAGAAAGTTTAAAGGGATCGACTATAAAGAATAATATTAAGTGACCCTCCATGCATAGATGGCAATGAGCGATTTACTCTTGAAGCCTTAATCTGATCAAAAATGTTTTTTTTCTGAAAAGTGCTTAATTCTGTTAATTTTCTCCATTGTTCTTTATATGCAAGATATTCTGAAGTCACTTTTGTAGAGAAAACAAAAATGAAAATTAACAGTTCAAATAAATAAAAACATTTAATTCATACCTGATCATACAAACCTTTAAAGTACAACCGTAAGTAATTACAATTTGATATGTTTTGACTGCATACGGTTGTACTTAGTAAAACAAGAAAATTACAATATACAAACAGAGTAAACTTGTATACAGCCATTTTCCGTTTTCATAAAATAAACTCTAGCAAACATAATAATATTATGGCTTTAAAAACAAGTATTAAAATTTACAAATATATTTACTTTGAAGTTAATTTAACATCTATATAATATTTTTATTGTTGTCTTTGGTATAAAACAATTATATGGAAGAAGACATTCTAAACTATTTACCAACTGTCATGTTTTCGTTGGACACCCTGTAGATCAAATTATAAGTTATCGCAAGGTATATTTAAAAAGTTCTATCCTTGAGAATCATTGATGAATGATGGCACACTAAATTCAAGAGTAATTAAAAATTACAATCCCTTTTTTTTGAATTTTTGAATTTGAATTTTTAAAAAAAACCGTTTGCATTACCAAAATATGTTGCACTTAAAAAATCTAATTGTTATGTTTAAAAAATTGAGATTCAAAAAAATTGTTTTATTTAAAAAATCTTCTAGTTTGATGAAGGCTGGGGGTTCTGTGGAACAGAGGATTATCAGAGTAAATGTAATGAAATAGCGGAACAAGTAATGTAAGAAAGGAGTGGTTCACCAAAACTGTGCTTTTAAAGATTTATATTACAAGGAATAGTTGCTGAAAACATTTAATACTTTTTTAAGAATTAATAATATTTATTTCAAAAGTTAAAGGTATAGTTTACCAAAAATATTTTGTACTTTGACTAATTAATAGTTTTTTTTTCCAGACTTAAAAGGGTTGTTTTCTATACTTAAAGGGTTTGTTTCCAGACTTTAAGGGGTTATTTTCCAGACTTAAAGGGGTTATTCTCCAGACTTAAAGGGGTTGTTTTCTAGACTTAAAGGGATTGTTTTCCAGACTTAAAGGGTTTGTTTTCTAGAGATAAAGGGGTTGTTTTCCAGACTTAAAGTGGTTGTTTTCCAGACTTAAAGGGGGTTGTTTTCCAGACTTAAAGGGTTTGTTTTCCAGACTTAAAGGATTTGTTTTCCAGACTTAAAGGGTTTGTTTTTCAGACGTAAAGGGGTTGTTTTCCAGACGTAAAGGGTTTGCTTTTCAGACGTAAAGGGGTTGTTTATGAATGATACTTTTTTATGACTTAAAATAAATGTCAATTGTTTCCAAAGTTAAAGGAATAGTTAACGAGAAAAATCTTCTACTTTAAATAAATAATAGTTTTTCTAGACTTAAAAGGTTTTTTTACGAAAAATACTTAATGTTTTCGTAAAATATTTTATACTTAAAATAAATAATAAAGGTAAAACTTTTGTTCGCAAATAGTGTTTTGAATGATACATATTTTTTCCAAATTTAGAGGGACTATTCACGAATANAATGACAAATTTTTTCCAGATTTAAAGGGACTGTTCACGAATAAAATTTTATTCTTTGCATATTTAGTTTATTTGTCCAGGGATACTCGGCTGATGGGTATTCACCGGCTAAACAATGAATATTGTGTAGAACAACTAAAAATAAATCTAGCAAAGGAAATGCCTGAGGTAAATATATTCTAGAAATGGACATTAAAGCTAGAGATGGGCGCGTTCAGCTTTTTTCAGTTCGTTCGTTTATTGTTTGTGAATGACCCAGTGATCGTTTTTTTTTTCAATCAGTAAAAAGAATTGATTTTGTTTGTTCTAAGAAAATATCGTTCATTTTACATATATTTTGTTCGTTTTGTCACTGAACGATTGTTTATCAAAATCGTTCGTTTTTTATTCACTCTTTCTAAAAAAACCTATCGCATCTTCATTGCTCTGAATGGTCCATATATCCATCTTCGTTTTTTCTGATTGACACAGTTTTTTACGAAAAATTTGGTTCGTTCTCAAAAATTTCGATTGTTCACAAAAACCATGCCCATCTCTAATTACAGGGACTGTCATCGTAGTTTGAAGTGATCTTCCCTTTCAAGATCGGGTATAATGCCCGATTCGTAAAGTTTTAACTTTTAACCTTTATCTCACCGATAACGTGGAAGATATCATTGTTTTTTTTGGCTTGAAATGTGTTCAATTTAGATAATTTCTCCCTTGTTTCTAAAGCAAGAAATGATCAGACAAAGCTTTAAAGGGTCGCGCTGAGAATCAGAGATGCCATTCTATAAATGGAGGGTCTCTTGAAACTACAGATACAGTTCCTTTAGGGTAAATTGTAAATTGTAAATTGTAAATTGTAAATTGTAAATTTTTAAAGAAAATCAGAAACTTCTCATGATTTCAATTCAATGTCCAAAAATACTTGTGAATCCAAATAAAAAACGAAATAGGTAAATTATGCTTTTTGAATGTTATTGATTAATTCATAAAGTTTTTAGGTGGAGGAAAGGGAATTCAATGATTTAGGCATATTTCTGTAAAATCAAGAAAACAAATAAAATTAAAAAATGACATTTTGTGAGAGAAAAAATTATTTATTGATTTAAACAAACAGAAAAATCTGCGTAGACAAGGTGGGCACAATATGCGTCGGGAAAAATGTGACTTTAAAGATGAAAAACTTTGAAGTATTCGAGGTAGGGATGAGCAACGGAGGATTTTTTTTCAGAAATTGTTTTGAACTTTTCGTTAACGATGCCAAACAAATCAGGTTGGGAAATTTCAAAAGGGTGATTTTACTGAAACGATTTTTTTTTCGTTTCAGTATTTGAAAGTAAAATGATGAATAACGTGTTTACAGTTAAAACGAGAAACGAACTTTTTTTCGTTTTGAAGTTAAAATGTCAACAAAAAAACGAAAATAAATTTTGCCAGTAGACGTAAGAAAACATTGTAAAATAAAAACAGAACTTTACACAAAAAATATAATTTTTCGATCGTTTTCAGAATAGTTTTTATAAACGGTGCCCATCCCTAATTTAAGGTGAATAAAAGTTTGACAAAGTTTACGAAAATTAAACTTGACGAAACTAGAAGAAAAAATGTTGAGGCAGGTAACTAAATATATATAAATATCGCAATAGATGGAGGTGAGACAAATAATTTTACCAATTTTAAATTAAAAATATTTATTATTTTTCTAATTTCATTTATAGTTTTTACCGCCTTCTAACCAACATGACCTACCTAGTGGGAGGTTTAGTTACTTAACGTCCCCTTGGGACAGTTATGTAAAATAATCACACGCTCTGTGCGCATTTTCATTACAAAAGACGATAAAATATTGTACAACTATACTTTTTTGGGAAATTAAATATTTTGCTTAACCACGGGCTCCCTCGACCAATCTATAAAAACATCCCTCGCTGTGCTCTGGATGTTTTGTAGGCAAAAATGGTCAATTGGGAACCCTTGGTAAAGTAAAATTCCCTTAACTTCTCTGTAAAGTAGTTGTAAATAATTATCATTTTAGCATTTTTTATTAAAAGTTTTCATAAGATATATTTTTCAATAACAAATTGTTTAGCCGCCTGTTTTGGAGACTCTGGAGGTCCATTGTTTAAGGTTAAATGCTTTTAAGTTTTTTTTAAATTGGAAGATTAAAAAAAATATTTGTTTAACAAACTAGTTTGTACTGGATGAAAGTGGCATAAAGAAGCCTGTTCTAATGGGAGTAATGAGGTAAAAGAACATATTTGAATACAGATACATAGTAACCCTATTTATTTAAATTCCAAGGGGTAATTTCGCCAAAAAAGTTAAACATTTGTAGAAAACAAATTCTCTCAGTGCCTCAGAATTTTAGGACTTTTTTCCAGGTTTTGTTACAACTTTTTTTTCTCTAGTTATGTGCTTTGGGGAACCTGTAAAAGCCGGTTTGATCCGTCCTACTACACTCTCACCCAGCACAATCTAGACTTCATTTTTAAATATGTCTCCAAGGTAACTTTTATTACTTTCTTTGGCAACATTTTTTTTACAATTAGAAGTTAAGTCTGAATACTACCAACTCAAATTTTCTAGGTCTTTGCAAATTGATTGTGCAAACCTTATATATTTTAAACTTGGATGATTTAATTTAACAGAATTCATAGTTTAAAAAAACTAATGTCTACGATATTGGGTTGCAAAGAAATTGAAAAATCGAGATTGTGCTCAATGACTATAATTGATTTCAGCAATTTGATATATCTATTTATATATCTATTTAAACCCCTAATTGTTTAAGGGTTAAGTAAAGGGTTTCTATACTTATATCAAGTGATGTCGAGATATTTTTAGATCGTTAATTTTTACTAAACAAACTAATATTTGTCAAAAGATTTTGACAAAAACTATCGTTTTTTATAAAAAGAACGTACTTAAAAAAAATATTGTTTTTTATCAAACAAACGTTTTTTCCGACAAACTTTAGAGAGAGGAACTATCAGTTTTTTTACTAACGCAAACAAACGATTTTATTGAACGAACGAGTTTACTGAACGATCGTTCACTTAGAAAACGAACAAATCCCATTTGGCCACATCAATATATGATAAAAATATGATTATGAAAAGCTCAATTTTCCAATTCTCAAAGATTTAATAATACAAAGGTTAATGGAAACATTTATAAAGTTTGTTTAGGATGAGATGTGTTACGGATCTATTACACAAAGGTCAATGGAAACATTTATAACTTTGTTTAGGATGAGATGTGTTACGGATCTATTACACTAAGGTTAATGGAAACATTTATAACTTTGTTTAGGATGAGATGTGTTACGGATCTATTACACAAAGGTTAATGGAAACATTTATTAAATTTGTTTAGGATGAGATGTGTTACGGATCTGGGAAAAGTATATCGATGCATAAAAAGACAAAAGGATTCTAATTTTATCTAATTATATTTATTTTATTGTATTCATTATTGGAAATAAAATAATATTGGTTTAAATTTTTGTTAATTCTGAATCAAGATACAGGGTTAACCACAAAGGATGAGACTGAAATAACGACCAAAATATACATAGACAATCTGTATGTTATATTTGGTCTTTAATTATAGCCTTTTAATACTTCACTTCTTCAATATATATATATATTGAAGGGAGGAGGGGGCAGTGTGCTTCTGAAATAAATTCCCAGATTTCCGACACGTTTCAGGGAGGAATTTATAGGTAAAACCAGTGAAATATCGTTTGCACTAAAATGATTGATTTGGACAAACACACATTCGTACTAACATTCATTTGGACTAACGTTCATTTGGACACTTAATTGTTCAATCAAACAGAATTCTACGTGGAAGGTTTTTTGAGCACGTGGAGAACTATTTTTTTAAATTCTAGCGTAATTTGGTTCATTTAAATAATTATAGCTCCATTGAACATATATTTTAGAACAAATGAACAAAAAAATGTTCAACATCAAACTAAAATCTAAAATTTCAAAATTTTCTAACAAATGATAATTAGTGCAAATGAACATATTTTAGTGCAAATGAACAAAAAAATGTTCAATCGAACTAAAATCTAAAATTTCACCATTTTGCCCATACATTATTATAATTATAGTACAAATGAACATATTTTAGTGCAATTTGAACAAACAAATGTTCAATCGGACTAAAAACTAAAATTTCACCATTTGCCATAAAACTAACATTCATGGATATTTACAGAAAAAAACATTAAAGTCAGTTTGAACAAATATTTTGTTAGCCATGTTTGCACTTGCACTGTACAACGTTCAATATTGCACTAATTATATTTATACAGAAATGAACAAATTAGTCCGTTTGAACCATTTTTTGTTGGGAAATGTTCATTTGCACTAATATTTACAGAATTATAAAAAAAAATGTACGTTATAATTCAATCGACATTCTGGTTATAAAATTGACAGTAAGAATTGAACAAAAATTGATCATTCATGGTCCGTAAGAACGGTGTAGGCCAAATGAACATTATGGTTTAAACAGAGGTTAGTTCAATTGATTGTTCTATTGATATGACACCCATAATTGCATTAGGGAGAAATTGAGACAGTTGGAATTACATCTTTTCGATAATAGCTCGTTACGGCTTTCCTTTCCTCCCCC